GGAAGGTGGTGCAAAATTTACATCAGCTTTTGGGATAGAAAATTTGTACTACCAGTGAGTGCGAAAGAGACAGAAGTATAAATTTTATGTTAGATAGGAGTGCAAATCATAATTATAAACAATCAAAAGCAAAACTGAACCAAGCACAAATTTTGCATTAGTCATGATTTACACTGCAACCAATGCAGCCTTATACTTTGTTTGCAGTGTAAATCTAAACCAGATACGAAATTTGCACCTGGTTCAGTTATTGCATCCATTTGTTTGTAACTACTGGATGCACTCCTATCTGACACAAAATTTATACCATTTGTCTCATTTGCACTCACTGGTTATGCAAATTTCTCATCCCAAATTAAATCTGATACAGAACTTCCATTCTTCTTCCTATCTCAATTCTTTCTCATATAAAGCGGGGACCACATCATCATGCTTTCCACGCCACTCTCAAACAAATAACGTTTGTACCTCCATTCTCTTTCATATAAGGTGGTAACCATACCATTTTACTTCCTATTTTGTCTCTCTCAAACAAACAAGACAAAGTTCAACCTGAAGCAAAAGCAAAGCAAAATTTTCACTCAGCTTATTTACACTCCTATGTATTTACACCAGTACAAATGAATTTGCACTCCAAACAAACTCAGCCTTAGAGACACTTGAGACACTCTCTTTATGATCAAGGTTTATGTCCCCCTCCCAACAGTCTTCTTTCTTTCTTTTGTTGATTCTGATTCTGGATCAGGCAGCTGTAGGTTCAATGCATCTAAGGTTATGGGTAAAAGGCCAATGCCCCCAAACCAGTAACCACCAAGAAGATAAAAAAGGAAGTGTACTTTTCTTCTGGTTAATATAATTTAAAGTAGTCCGCTCCACTACACATTGGATTAAACTTAGGGGTTCAAGGTCATTAGCCAATATTACTCAGACCCTCATTCTCATGCTTTCCAGCCCGAAACTTTACCATGCATTATACCAAGTAATAATGCCCCAAATTTAGGGGTTCAAGAAGTTGGATAAAAAAATTGGAGCTGAAAATATATCAAGAGAAGGTGAAATTCCAAAATTAGCTCCAGAGACAAATATGTTTTCCACTAAAAATATGAATAAATGAGACATGCACACATTCTTACATAGGTTTATTTTTTTTCTTGTTAATTTCCAATTTATAGGAACTTAGAACTCAGTCACGCATTGTCTGAGATATTAAATCACCATTATCATCATAGGCTTCCTTTTTTTTCCTTTTACATGTGATGAGAACAAGTAGCCAATGGGCTCTGGCTCCTATATATCTAAGCCATTAATTCAACCCTAACCCTAAATGGGAACATCTTCTGGTCTCCCTGGTTCAGGCCGGCATATATTGTTGGGTATGAAGAGTTACCTACTTTAATGGTTGTCAGTCCAACAGTGAGGCCCCTACTGTGCATTATCACATGCTTCTCTTCCTTGGCCTCTTGTTGAGTAGTTGAGTTTCTAAGTGCAACCGCCCCCAAGTCAGGCCACAGAAGGGCGAAAAGGGAAAAAGTCTAAGGCATGGGTTATTTTTGAGACAAAACAAACACTACCAAGCTTATTAATCCTACTATACACTTTGTTGGACTTATACCCATATGGCAAGGGGCAATACTGAATTACTAAACATTTCCATAGTTCTTATGTTACTAATTCATCAAGTGAGGGGCCATTGTTTGGTGATATGGTAAAATCCTTGGGCTGACAAGTGTGTGAATGTGAGTTTGAGTTTGATAGTGGCCACTAGGTGCTGAAATTGCTGGAAGTTGGGTCTGTATCCAGTCCCAAGGGCCCTGATTGTCAGGACTAGCATTGGGTAATGACCTCATAAAAAAAGAGAAAAGAAAAGCTCATGAATAAGTGCCTTAAATTTCCCTTCCCCCTTACACTAGTGGACTAGAGCAATTATTTTATGTAAAGGCCATTAAAATCAAATCACTTACAAAGACCCAAATTATCAACTCTATCATATGATTCCAAAAATTAATTCTCATAGTAGTTCATAATCTCTATTCAGTATTAAAGAGAATAAGCTGAGAGAGAGAGAGAGCATTCATCACAAGCTATTATTCTATGATTCCATTCAAAGGCTATTAAGTCCAAATTACTTATAAAGACCCTAAACAAGAATTTAACAACTCTATTATGACACCAAAACTTAGGAAAGTACGTAGTCCAAAATCTCTATTGGGTAGAGAGAGAGAGAGAGATTCATTTACACTCGTCAGTCATAACAAGCTCTCTAGCTACCCAGAAGTCTATCACAAGCTAGTTTGTGATGACATGTGCACCACAAAAGGCCGAAATGGCAATAGAGTCCAGTTCAACAAGTTCAATCATGAAATAGGCCCCACCAAGTACTAGTGAAACAACAGCGTAATCACTGATCAGAATATCACAGCCGTCCAATTTCGTTCATTCATTTTGTGTTGAAAAAGAAGGCCACTAGTGGTTCAGATAAAGTTCACTAGTTTTAGATGGTCACATCCATCTGATGTTCTCTCTGAAGCAGAGCATCTCCTGGCTGCGTCCAGTATATGTCCTAAATGGACATACATAACTTTCCATACTAATATATACACTTTTCTATAAATTAAAACGAGAAAAGAAAAAAAAAATTATATATATATAATAATCCTTTTTCTTTTTAAGCCTTTCATTTTACAAATCCATCTAGCTTATACCACACATCTACAATATGTGGAACCCCACTTGACCTAACGCCATATTCCAGTTATATGTGGCATACCCTAACCCTACCCTTTGATCAATAGCTCAACATATACCATCCGATTAAAGTACACACATGCATGCTTACTTTAATTTGTTATATATATATATAGAGAGAGAGAGAGAGCAGAATGCAGTGTGTATCAATAAGAATACAACTCTCTAGCTAATCATAGGAAGAGAGCACAAGCTCAAAAACCGCTTTTCTTCCCAGAAATGGGAGTCAGAAACGAGAGAAGAAAGAGATCTCCATAAGGGTAATAAAGATGATTCTCCTGGTTCCTGGAGCTGAAGGTGATAAGCTTGCTTTCACTTCAAGGGACCCCCTGCAGCCATCCACCAACACAACACAAGAGAAAAAAACAAAGGGAGGGGGGTACGGTACCTTCGTGCGACGTGGAACAGCTGGGGCCTAGGGGTGGCTTTTGATATATTTTTAATGCAGCTTAAGTGGACCAATAAGAGAGACGAAAGGCACTTTTGGTTTTTAGGAGCAAGGTGGGAGGAAAGAAGCTATAGGCTACAGCCCCCCTTGCGAGAGTTCAGTCCTTTCACGGGTCTGCTTGACAGTGAAAGATTGATTCGACTGAAAGAGTGTTGGGGGGAGAGTTTCGACTTTCAAGGTTCCGAGCTCTGATGAAAAGCTTAGCCGTTAGTCGTCTCCTCGTCACAGACTCACATGATGAGGTACAAACTTTCCAGGATAAGGCCAACTGACGTGACATGGTCATTCAAGAATCATGTGAACATCTTTGGTCATGGGAGCTCTCTCAGGCTGAACCCAGCCATACTGTAGTTATCATCATCCATTAAAGCTAACAGATTTGTTCAGTATCTTTATATTAGTTTCCGAGCCGGCCAATCAGAGTTAAGCGTTATGTTTCTCGCAGTTTACTGACCACTCCTGTTGAATCTTAACGACCGACCGTTTAGCATTTCATACCAGCGGATTTGGTACTTGGGTTCACCATTCTGGTGCTGTCTCCTTCCCTTGGAAGAATTGAAGATCTCCAAGATGGGAAGTTGGAACCTACCCAAACAGACATTGGGGCTATTGGGTCGGAGCCCAGTTGGGAAAATGCCTCGTTAATTCAGATTGACCCGGTTTGAAAAACATCACCCGGCCCCCGCCTTCCCCTTGGATGGATGTGATCAGTAGGGTTGGTGTGTCAAGAATGGGTCGACAGTAAGTGGAGTACTGTGTTGGATTCATATAGGAAAGCTATGATTTCCTTCTTTTGGAATGGGGATGCATGCATATGCATGCTTTTCTAATCTCTTTCTAGCTACCTGAGTACTGCACTTGATCTTTTTAATCTAGAGGTTGGGATTGATTAATTAGTCAACTTCAAAATGTTCTAGTTAAGCTTCTTCCGGATCTCTCATGGTCACTGTTGATTATTAAAATATTTATATAAATTTTCTAACTTGTTTAGCCTTCCATTTGGAAACTAGATTCCCCACTTGGTGGTTTCTTCCTCATCGGTGTTAAATGGCTTGTGGTTTCTATCAACCAGCAGCATGCAGTTTGAATTGAAGTTAATAATCTAGATTCCCTGTACCTTTCAACTGGAGCTTTTGACCAAGCTTAAACTGTAGCTTTGCAACTCTGGTCAGTACTGAGATCTGGATCAAGATCAAGGCTTCAAGGGGTGCAGTTGCAACGTAGAAGTCTTGAGTATAGGAGGTGTTGGTGATGAACCCTAGTGATCAGTCCAACATGATTATTTCACCATATGTATCAGTTAGAAATTAAATGTATTCCACATATTTTCCAATAATTAATTTTGTCACATAGAATTGTATATCTAATTAAGGCTAGCTACCTACATCTTTGGGTGCAATATTAATCTCCCAAAAGAGCAAATCTAAAAGCAAAGTTGCAATATGAGGAAATCTCTTCTCTGGTTAAAAAAAAAAAAAAAAAAACAAAGAAAAGTAAAGAATGGAAAATCTTGCTTCCTGGAGTTGGTTCATGAATAGGCTGCTAGAGGAATCTAGTTAATTAGTAATTTTGATGGTTAAAGCATTCTTCTATTGGAGGAAACAAATAAAAGGAACCAAGGGTTCAAATATCACTTAGACCACCCAAACCTCTCTCTCTCTCTCTTAAATCATTTAATTGAATTGACCACACATAGTCACATATGATACTCTTAGTTGGCATTAGAGACTAGGTCAAGGAGCAAATAATTTCATTGCAGACGGCTTCTTCACCATCCACTACTAGAAATTTAATGCAGCCACATACATAAACCAACATAAAAATATCCATATATTGAAAATTTCGCAACTTTAATCAGCTTTGGTGCAGAACTAGAAAAATTCCTTTCCCACCACAAGACTTGATCTCACTACACAAGGATATACATGCTACAAACTTAATCAACAATGGATTATCAGATAATGACAAACACTAGATGTTCCTATCTTGTAACTTTCTGAACTGCCACAACTCGTCGATGTTCCATATGCTTTCTGCCATGTCATCATAGGCCCAATTACTTTCTGCCATGTGGCAATCAGAAGTCTCGTATCCTCCCATTACTGACATAGCAGACATGTTGAAGTCATCCATGTCATAACTACCACAGTTGTCAACATAGAAAGAGCTCCTTAGAAATGGATTATAGTCGCTGTTATCAAAATTATGAAGGCTTGTTGCTGGGTAATCTGAAATTTCAGGGAATTTGGAGATGCTCATCATGGAATCCGAAGAAAATATGCTTGGGCTGGTACAATAATTCCCTGGGTTTGAATTCTTCTCATGATCGAAACTGTTAATTGCTTTGCTGATTCTGAGAGACCCCTCTAGAGGTGGTGGTGGTGGTGGCGGTGGTGGGAGAGCTGATGCCTGAGAGGTCTGATTGAGTGGTGTAGAAGGAGGAGTTGACGAATTTTGAGTCTTCATGGCTGAAGAAGATTCTTCCATCTTCTGAAGCAATCTGGGCATCCAAAAACATCTGATAGCATCCCGAAACATCATGCTGTTAGCATCAATCTTGAGATGCCTTGCTTGTTTCTGCACCCTTGTTCTCCAGTAATTCTTGATCTCATTATCTGTTCTTCCTGGTAGATGTTGTGCAATCTTAGACCACCTGGAATCACCAAACAAAGAGAACTTCAGGAAGAGTACTGATATAACACAGAGAAATACATTCGTGAATCTAAATATGGTGCTAAACATCCACACATTGATAATAAAGGGCTAATCCATAAGCGCAGTGATCGTATATATAATCACCTGTTGCCCCATTTTGAATGGAGTTCAAGAATCAAGAGCTGTTCTTCAGGAGTGAGGTTTCCACGTTTGACGTCTGGTTTCAAATAATTCAACCATCTCAATCTGCAACTCTTGCCAGTTCTTTTCAACCCTGAAGAACAAACAGTTGATGAACACAAAAAAAAATAAGAAATGGTGGCGCAAATGAGATCATTCAATTAAGTAATTAAAAACCAGTAACAAATTATATTAAATGGCTGAAGAGAAATGGAGGATATAGATAGATTTTTTACCTGAAGATTTAGCTAACAGATTCCAGCGGCCTTCACCATGACAAGCAATGTAGTGAATCAGAAGAGTATCTTCTTCAACAGTCCATGGCCCTCTTCTTAGCTCAGCATCTTCTTCACCATAACCGTATGCTGCATTCTTTGGAGTAGACATGGTTACTCTCGTGGAGAAACCCACAAAACTAGAACAAGTTGACAGGAACAAAGGGGTTGAAGTGTTGAAACCAAAGCAGAGAAACTTCAGGCCCAGCCGAGCTTTTTATAGAGTCCAATGAGGTTCAGACTTAGAAAACTGTTAGATAATGACTTCCTAAGTTTTGAAAAGATGGAGCTTAAGTAAACACCACTTCAGATTCTATAAATGATTTTTGCCTTTAAGACAAATTAAGCCAATCTGATTTGGGCATAATATGAGTTTAGGCTGCGCTTGGAAACGATGCAAATGAAGTGTAAATCCATCTCAGGATAAATTTGCATTTTGGTTCAGTTTTGATTGTGTTTGGCAACAATGCATTGACAAGTGACAGAAAACATGTTTTCCAATGCGTATTTACATGGATAATGAAATGTAAAAGTATATCAATAAAAAAGAAGTAAATTTGCATTCAAGTGGGTTTTTGATAAAAGAAAAACATATTTTATTGGAATTCGTGTTTATATCCATTAAACCTAAAAATATGTTTAGTAAGAAGGTAAATTTATAAGTGCAAAACTAATCCAACTTTACAATTTATATAGACACTTTTACACTACATATTTACATTCGCATTTATTTGCATCATTTTCAAACACACCCTTAATTTCATTCTGTGTATGACCATCTTAGCCATCATATAAATGCTCCACGTGTCATATTGTCAAGTTGGTACTAGGCTATCCATTATTAACGCCCACGTGGCGTATTGTCATGTCAGTACAACTGTACAAAGTTACAAAGCCTTTCTTAGGTGGCTCATCCTGCCGAGCGGCCTAGGCAATCTCTTAGTCAGGATAAGGCCAATGATCATCAAGAGGGTGGTCCCTAGCCTTTAAGTCTCAACCATCTCACCTTTCGAACATAGCCCCTGACCCCATTAAATAATGGTGCTGATCAGATGATCATGATCATGGAATCGATTTATACACGGCTGGGACCCATCAATTAATTCCCCCTTCCCTTGTTATTGGCCACAGATCAAAGAATAATTCGAATATATTCCATTGGCTACAGACTCTAAGAAGCCGAAAGAGGCAGAAAAATTAAATGGATGGTATATATTCTAGAAAATGAACATTTGCGTTCTTTGAAGGGAATTATATTATATTGGTCATTTAAACTTTGGGTTTTCTTGGGTTTTCAGATTAAATTGTCTTATTGAGTATTTGACTGGATGAGATATTACAAAAATACACATAGCATATAAACGTGCGTTTTTTGAGTTGGGCTAACAAGTCGGCATTCAAGCAATCCAGCTTGTTAGGAATTTTAGAACATGTCGTTTGCTTGGGATGTCAAAGGATGTTTGTTCTATGCAACACCGATACGTTTTCTTTTGTGGTTATTGTTTGTCTAAACCATCACTATGAAACAAGGATGCAAGAGAAAGCATGGAAAAGTCTGCTAAATTTCTTAATGCAGCTAAATTTGACCCCATTGTATCATTCCTCTCGGTGAAATTTGAAAGAGAGAGAGAGAGAATGAAAGGTACTGTGAAAGTGAAACATAACATATAGGGGGAATGAATGAAATGTGTGGATGCTGATTTTTTTGGCTTTCTTCTACTAGTTCTTATACAGACTTGGCTATAATTGGCTAAGTTTAGAGAAACGGGTAAGCCAGTGTTCCCTTTTGTTATTTCATTTCCTTTGAGGGTCCAAATGGGATTTTTAATGATGATAACAGAGACAATTATTGATTGGAACTTGGAAGAGGGAAGCGTCAATGCACAAGCTTTTTTGAGGGGGAAGTTCAGTTGGGTATAGGGGGAATCCCATTTTTGGTAAGCTCCCTGGTGAAATGGATTGGGTTGGGAGAGGATGCTTTTGTCTATATGATCTATTTTTGAGGAAGTAAAAAAGATAGCAAAGCACTACTGATGTGAGTTGAGGGAAGACTTAGAGGATAAAAATACATTGCTACTATAATGGTGATGGTATTGATATTAACAAGATAAAGATATCTACAGTAGTGGGAGATCTCTGGTTGGGTGGAAGATAACCATGGTGGATTGAGTCCATAATATCTCCAATTGCAATTGTGGAGTCTTGCTGTAAGTGCAGATATGTCTGTGGCTGCTGTGCGGCTATGAGAGAGAGAGAATGAATGAATTTAAGCATGTTTAGCTAGGTGAATTGGGAATCAAACTCATCACTTCATTCCGTCCTTGACCAGTATACAGTAACTGGATTGACGGGGGCATCTAAGCAATGAACGCAGTGAATGACCACACAGAGATGCCACAGATGGTAGAGGGTATAATGATGATGATGACGATATAAGGAGTTAAGGACAACAGTTAATGAATGTGATGATGGTGGAAATGATCAACCATGATTGGGCCGTGACTAGTGGGACTAGATGACAACGTTAGATATCACAATCATGGCGAACTTTAATGCTGGATGAGACTGCACAAGAGTTCATTAATTAATTCATAGAACGTCCCTACAATGGGATAGCATGTGCAATCCTGCTTACTTGTTTCTGTTGGGTGTACGCGTGCACTGCATTTGTCAAGTTTAATTAACATGGAAGAAACCAAATTTTATAGCTTAGTTACTTTAGCTCAAAGCTTTAGGCCCAGAACAAGTTTGAGACATAACACAGAACTACCGAAGATGTATGTATGTCAAGTATACTTTGAAAAAATTATTATGTAGTTCTGGATTGAATCAATGAGCTGTCCTTGTAATTTTGATTTAGCTTTGTAGCTTGCTGAGAGTGGCCAGCTCTCTCCACTGGCCACTGGGAATTCTTGGGGGATAGTCATCCGTTTTAGTCGTTTTGAGGGCTTGACTCAATATTCGGAAAGATGCTTGACGTGACTGATAATTGGAAAAGATCTCATTAACTCTTTGATATAGAGAATTTGGGTATCGACTAGAGTACATTTTAACACAAGGGAATCCATTCTCCTTCTGACATCTTCATCTGGTTTCATGTTCCTTTAAATTCCTTGTCAAGTGATTCAAAAATGGTGGCTGCACCATGGATGACTCTCTGACCATTGGAAAGGTGCTAGAGGGGGAAAAATACCATTACAGGGTACGGCATATGGGCACTAAATGGTTCCAAACTTCCAACTTCCAACCGAGTTTCAAAACCAAAGGCCTTACATGTGCGCTACTCACTGTTACCGAATCAAAATCCCTTGACTTCTTCCAAAAATAGAACCAAAGTTCTACCAAAAAAGGGATTAGAGTTCCTTCCTTTTCTGATTATAAGCATATATAGGATGCTTTCTGCATTATTTATTTATTTAATTATTTTTTGTGTTGATAGAATGAAAAAACTTTCAGCAAATTCAACAATGTCAATTCTCCTACTAGAAACATTTCCATCTACATATTTATCTATTTTTTCAGTAACAACAGAAAATCAACACACTAGAACTATATACTACTTCATCTAGTTATGTTGCTTGTATGGAATGCCTTTTCAAGGGTTTTAATATGATGGGTTAGAATTTAAGTTTGAATACACAACCCTCCTTTTTTTGGCTTAGGATCGCCATTGCAAGACAAAGATTGGAACTGGTAATAGTGATCCCGAGACATTAATATTCTTTGAAATAGTAAGCATTGAGGCTGTATTCACCATAGAGGGGCCAAAACAAATGGAACCTCAAGTCAATTTAATCACTTCTAAATAGAATCTTACTTCAAAAAAAGTCAATTACAGATCGGTAAATCTTACTAGAAAGAAACAAAAGGTGGTGACCATCCAGCATTAGATTAATTTCAACTACACAAATCAATAATTATCAAACCCACCCATGACCCACCCCACCCCCCAAATAAATATGACATCACAGCACCTCTTATCTCAACTTTCATACCAAGTTACCAACCAAAGGAAAGAGTGCAAAAAGTAACCAACCAACTAAACTTCAAGATCTATCAAAACACAAAAAACCTAAACTTCAAGCCTCCAGGGAGTTAAGAGACTAATTGGGGGTAAAATCGGCAGATTCCTTTCTTTCTTTCTAATGGGTGTTTGGACTTCGAGCAATCCATGTATTACCAAAAAACCTGTTTGTATCTTCAGTTTATCCTACAATAAAATCATTTCTTTTTCAATTTTCAAGGCAAATCCGAACACCAAAGGATGATTACGTTTATAATGACATAATGATACATTTCATCTTTTTATTGTTGAATGATGCCTTTGCAGAGCAACCAACATTTACATATTAGCAGGTCCCATACAGGATTCACACAAGGTTCTGTTTATTCAAGCTATTCAGCCATAACAGGACCACATCTGCTCCTTTTTCCCATGATCTATCCAGCATTACATCATGGGCAACCCCTTTAATACAGACTGGTGACACACCATAAAACCTTGCTGTTTCATTGAGCCCTTCAGCATCCTACACTCACATAATTTTAACCATGAGTTAAGTTTTAACCAAAGAAACATTGGAATATGTTAAGGCTCAAGAATATACAGCAATGATGGCAGAAGCCTTAACATATGATTATAACATCACAAACTGTAAGTCCTGCATATGGTTTGAGAAGTGATCGTGGTGAGAGACTTGATTGTTTCATTGTTATATTGCCATGAAATTTTACTCCAAGAGTCACTGATATTAAAAAAAGTGATTTTGTAGTAATGGTTTTTCCCAAATTTCATGAAGATCAAGAAAAAGGATTTTCATAAGCATTGGCCTTTACCTAAAGAATTCAAGTGGTCTTGGGCCATATACTTTATTGCCCAATCTCGTAAATTTTGAAGTTTTAGGAGCCCCTTAACGCTAGTGGGTCCATAATAGCAGAAATAACAAGATGTTATGCAGAACTTGTTTCTATCTTTTGGTTGCATTGGAACATCTATTTCTCTTCCATTGGTCCTAGTAGATAACGCTAGTTTGATTTAAGTCTTGCAGAAAGCAAGGATTTTTGGAGTTTTAAAATACTTTTCCTTTTGACTTTCAAAGAAAAAAAGCTTTTCTATTTGCAGTAATATTGGTGATCTGGTATGAAAGAAACAGCCATATTTTCAATTAGAAGTCACAGCCAAGAGGAAGTGATGCTTAGGAGAGCAATCACCATGATCATCTCTTGGGTATCTCATTCACAAAGAATTCAT